AGATAATTATGATATGGGTACTTCTGTGATTTTGGTAATCATAGACGGAATATGATAGGAACTGTTAACTGCCACCCAATATTCATTCTCTTTTTTCATAGAAACAAAACTCTGATTATACTGGGAAAGCAATGTGCACGATTAAAACACAAACAAAAATACAAAATCTACATTTTGAAGCCTACCTTGCAGTTAAGTGTAACAGGATGACTAAGCTCTAGCTAATAGTTGGTTTAAAAAAAAAAGTATTTGAAAGGGACCTTCTGGAAGTTTCCTTTAAAGTGTAAAGAACGTTGGCTTCATTTTGTCTTTATTCCTACTGCCTGGAATGTAAAATTCATTGTGAGACGTACATAAGCCATATTTTTGACCTTGTAATAATGAGAGCGAGAAGCCAAGAAAAGTGAAGCTGAAAGACAAGAGTACCTGATTCCCTGGTGACTTTGTGAAGCTGTCATAACAGTGCTAGACTGCCCATTTGCAGACTCTCTTTATGGAGACAGTAAACGCCCAATTTGTTTTAACTGCCACAGTCAAGTCTTAGAATATGATAAAGGTACATTAGAATCGCTTTGTAAAAAAAAGTTGTTTGTGGATCACTGTTTCAGCTATTTTAAAAAAAATCGCACCCAACATATTTCCACTGGATGGACTCATCTACTTCTCTTTCATACCTCTTCCCTAAGTTCCAGAACCAAAAACCCAACTTCTCCTAAACCTTGCTCCGTGGTTGCCCCTTAGTCACTTAAATTCAACAAGCAAGGCCAGGTGTGGTGGCTCAAGCCTGTAATCCCAGCACTTTGGAAGATCGAGGTGGGTGAATCACCTAAGGTCAGGAGTTTGAAACCATCCTGACCAACAAGGTGAAATCTCATCTCTACTAAAAATACAAAAATTAGCCAGGCGTAGTGGCAGGCACCTGTATTCCCAGCTATTTGGGAGGCTGAGACAGGAGAATTATTTAAAGCCTGGAGGCAGAGGTTGCAGTGAGCTGAGATCATGCCCCTGCACTCCAGCCTGGGTGACGAATGAGACTCCGTCTCAAAAAACAAAAAAATAAATTTAACGAGCAAAACCTGAATGAGTTTCCATACTCACCGTAACATGGTCTTCCTTCTATATATACTGTTTAGTTAGCGATGCCATTGGTGACTAAGTAAGCAATTTAACCCCAAAACCTTTCTGAAATTCTTCTTTCATCTTTTTCACCCTTAACACCCAATAGATAATTGACTCTAAACATGTTTCCCTCAGAATTGTTCCTTGTGTGGATAGTCTCCTTTTCATTCTCATCAATGTTGCCTTAAATAAGTTCTCATTGTTTCTCTTAAACTAATTTTTAAAAGTCATTCCTAAATAGGCCTCAATCCTCCAGTCCCTTATCTTTCTAATTTATCACTGCCCTGTCTAAAAAAGTTAACTTTGAGGTACACAGATTTCTTAAAGCCCATCTCAAACTAAGAAATTGTTAATTACTCTCAATTGCCTACAGGGTAAAGTTAAATTATAAATGATCCCTTTAAAACATTCCTAGTTTCCTTTACAGACTTGTGCTCTACTTGCCCACTCACCCCTACTCCACAATACACACATCAAAAGTACCAAGTAAAGTTGTTTTCAGACACGTTAGACTGTCTGCCATGTCCGTAACGTTCCATGTCTCCCCCCACCTCAAATCCTTTCCCTCTTCTCCTCCTATAAGTACACATTTGTTCACATTTGTTTTCTACTTATTAATCAAGGCCCAAAGTAGGTTTGAACCACTTATGAAGCTTTATCTTGCCTGCTCTGCACATCAAATAAATTATTTCCTTGCATGCTATGCCATGTACATTTGTACATACCAATTTTGTATGGTTTACTATATTGTTCTGGAGCCTTTTTTGTATATTCAGGTATATTTTATATTTCTTTTTTTAAATGTATTTCAGTATCTTAAGGGAATTACCATCTAATCATCTTTACATCCCTCAGATGTCCTACTATGCCTTTCCCAGAGAGGGGCTAAATTCATAGTAATAGATTTGAACAAGCTATATATATTTATTTTCCATACAGGTAAAACATGCAACTTCAAGATGAGTGCTTGCAATATAGATCTAAGAATGATTGGGGAATAATTTTAATTAAATGGTGTATTATGAGAATACCTTTCAGATTTTTTAATATTATTAATTCATCTTCGTTATCCTCCACCTCCATACCTCAGACCCACAACAGAATGTACGGCCGATTCACTCTAGAAATGCATTCTATTCATACTTCTTATTTTTAACCAACTGTATTTGGTAAAGAAAAGTTTCATGAACATAATTTTGGGATGCCAGCTTTATTTAGTAAACTTTGAATAGTATGTAATTTTGAATACCAAATTTCTGTAATTTTTAATATCTCCCTGCTTTGGAATCATGCTTGCCATTCTTCAAGGGATCTTATAGAAAAATGATAACTTAGATTAGATCTTCTTCTGAATTTAAAGAATAAAAACAAGACAAGAACTCAGGGTCACTGAGAGATTAAAGTAAATGTGCTTTGGCACACGTAAATGAAATGTATTCAGAAAGCTTTCTAGGATCTACCTGTAAACAGATGGCAGTAAGATATGCAAAAGGGGGCATGCTCTCTTTTTTCAGATTTATTTTTTTCTAATGGGGAATAGTGAGTGAGATGATGACAAATAGTTTTGGATTTGCAGTGCTATTCCTCATTTTATATAATGACTCAGCTTTTAAATTGTAAATCATGGATTCTAAATAAATAGCTGCTGCCTAATCTATCTGTAATATATGTAAAGTTCATGAATTTGAATCATCATACCAAACAGGAAAGAATACAAACTGAGTTTATATATAGAAGGGAAATTGTATTTTGGAAGGATAATTATCACCAATAAATTTTAACAGCTATGCAGAGGCTAAAGCTCTACCAAAGATTTTTTGAAAGCTTAGCTTCAGACAATATGAAACAAAATAAAATTATATGAAATTTGGACCTTATAAAGCATAAACAGTGTGTGAAAATGACAAAAGTAAATAGAAGAAAGAGTTTATCCTCCAAATAAATATACTTTTTTTTTTTTTTACATCTTTAAGGTAGTATAATGTTAAATGAGAAAATGAAGACTGGATGTTTAATAAGCCAAAAGGAATATAGAGTAGTTAAATATATATATATGTACACACACATATTAATACATATGCATCTATATATACATACATGCCGTGTTTGTCTGTATAAATGTATATATACATACATGTATGCATATGTGTCTGTACACACACATGTTCCTGGTTGTATGGCTTGTGACTAAGTAAAATGCCTTTTTCTTGAAAAGTGGTAGGGCAGTAGTAATATACTTATTTTTGTGCAGAACTTTTGATAAAATCTGAATATCAAAGACACTAAATTTGTTTCCCCTTTAACAACCACTGGTATATAAAGCTAGAAAGCAATACCATCTTATAATTTCCAAAGTATTCACTATCGACTTGTGTTTTTCAGTTTTATCACAGATTTAGTGTTGTCTCCCTGAACAGAGGAAGCACAGACCTTTGAAGGTGAACTCAGCTCTGACATTTACTAGTATGACACTGGGGAAGCCATATAAACCTTCATAATTTTACTTCTTTATATATTAAAAAAAAAAAAAAAAACAAAAACAGAACAAATAAGTGATCCATCTGGCATGTTACTGTGAAGACTGACATAAAATATAGGCAAGAGATAAACGTCACTGTTTCCTCCTCTCTACATTTTTTTTTTTCCTTTTTGAGATGGAGTCTTGCTCCGTCACCCAGGCTGCAGTTGCAGTGGCGCAATCATGGCTCATTGCAACCTCCGCTTCCTGGGTTCAAGTAATCTAGTGCCTCAGTCTCCCGAGTAGCTGAGATTACAGGCATGTGCCACAACACCCAGCTAATTTTTGTATTTTTAGTAGAGACAGGGTTTCACCTTGTTGGCCAGGCTGGTCTCGAACTCCTGACCTCAAGTGATCTGGCCGCCTCGGCCTTCCAAAGTGCTGAGATAATAGATGTGAACGACTATGACTGGTCCCTCCCCTCTACTTTTGATGGCTCTTTTCTTGTGTTTTTGTAATTATGTCCTCTTTCAGAACATTAACTCATTGAGGGAATGTCCAATGCCCGGATATAGAAGCCCTATATGTTACACACACACACACACACACACACACACACACACACACACACACACATAATATATATAAGTAAACTAGTATAATTAAGAAAAATTTTCTCGGAAATATAAATTTTCAGACTATTCATAATGTTTCATTTAAACTTAAATTTATAATCTTGGTCCATGTCCTTCTCAAAGTCACTGTTACCTGAATCCAATATAGATATCATATATTATTTTATCACCATTTCTTCCCCAGAGAAATGATCTATTGCTATTAAAAGATGAGTAGAAAAGTTATACATTAGTTCTACCATGGTAATTTTATAGCAGCTTAAAACTCAGGGCCACCAAAGAATTTATGAAAATTCCTCTAAATCTATAAAGTTCTATCATACTCCATTTCTGAAAGTATATATGGAATGAAAAACCTCAAGAAATGAACATCTTTGTTATCAAAAGAAATAGGGGGAAAATGAATATCAATTAATAGCAGTGAAGCAACCATCTTATTTTGCTATTCCACATGCATTTCTTTTCAAAAATTACAGGATTTATTTTGGAGTTCTGTTTGTACACATTCTGAAGTCATACTCTAAATTAACATGGATTTCTCATCCAAAAGGCTTATAAAACCTGATTTACTCTTTAATCTCTGAAGTAAATAAAAATAACATTTTTAACCTTTAAGAAATCTGCCAAGATTTCTTGCTAGTTTAAATACATGTACTTTTAATAAAAACTCCAATTTAGTTTTTCTAAGCTGATTTTACCTAAAAGATTTGGTGATGCAAGCAAGGGTATAGTTACTCTGTATCAAGCATCTTCCACTTGTGATCATGGAAGCGCTAGGCAGTACTCACAGCTGACATGATGAGCTCTCCTCCCAGGTTCTGGATCTCAGCTTTAACTTGACTGCAGATTTTCAGCTGGTGGGAGTAGAACTTAATCTGTTCCAGGTAGGCCAACAGGTCCTGTTTGCAAGATGGATCTGGGCACTAAATATGCATCAAAGATAAAAATGGATATAGCAGACTAAATAATAGGCAGATCAAAGTGAGCAAATGCAGTATTAATATGGCAGGTACCTTATAAGGCAGCAACTTTATTTTCATTGAGGACCATTTCTCAGGTCAAGCCTAGATAGATTCTGATATGCTTCTACCATTATAATAGTTGATTTATTTTGCAACCTTAATTACTTCAGCTTAGCCAAAAGAAACATTAATATAATTTTTAGACATGAAATGGTATATAAAATAGCTGCCTTTAATTTATGAAGGTTAGAAGCCCTCAGATTTTGTTTTTAGGTAAATCTAAATAAGCATTTAAAATGCAATTATTTCCTTCACCTACAGTTACTATTAGAATGCTCCTTGAGACATAGTTCTGCATTGTCTGTCCTGTCCTACTCAAATGGGTGTAAAAAACATGCAGCAGCATAATATGTTCTATTATGCTCAGCCTTCAATGTTCTTAGCTGTTAACAGACAAAGGAAATAATTTTTACCTTATATAACAACTGTGAATCTAACTGAAGCCAATAAACAGGCAGGGTACATTGTTTCAGAGTATTAAATTTCTTTACAAAAACCAGCCTGCTACATTGTATTGTCTTTTGGAAGGAATTTCCTGGAGGACAGCTTTGAGCTTTATGGTCACATATTAAATAGCTTCAGTTAAGATTTAATCTTTGTGCTCTTTCTCCTATGAAATTATAATAGATTCATAAAAATCCCTTCTAACTTAATTCCATGTTTAGTAAATTTGTGTAAGAACAAGGAAATGTGGACAGTGATTTATATGCAAAGATCTTCACTGTAGCACTACATATAATATCAACATTTGGAAATAACCTAAATATCCCAAAATAATGGAAAGGCTAAGTAAGAATGCATATCGATATAATGTAGCATTATTCAGTCTCAAGAAAAAAGTTTCAAAGGATATGGAAAAATGTTTTTGGAAGTGAAAAAAATCAACATGTAAATATTGCAATCAAATTATATTTTTAAATGCGTGCATTTAAAACATGCTGAATGCTGGATGTAGTGGCTCAGTCTACAATCCCAGCAATTTGGGAAGCTGAAACAGGAGAATCGCTTGAGCCTAGGAGTTTGAGACCAGCCTGGGAAACATAGAGAGACATCATCTCTACAAAAAATAAAAATAAATTAGCCAGGTGTGGTCCCAGCTATTCAGCAGGCTGAGGGGGAGGATTGCCTGAGCCTGGGAAGTAAATGCTGCAGTGAGCCATGATGGTGACACTGCACTCCAGCCTTGGCCACAGAGTGAGACCTTATGTCAACAAATGCATAAATAAAATAATAAAACAAGCTGGGACAGCCTGAGTTGTCCCATCCTTTCTAGGCATAGATCATCGTGCATCAGGACTCTTTGCTCCATACCCAGGCTAGAGAGGTGGACATCTTGATACCAAAAATGCAGAGAACGTCTGTGAGATACTATACAAAAAGGAGCATCACCAAGGCATATAATCACCAGACTATCCAAGGTCAATGCTAAAGAAAAAAATCTTAAAGGCAGCTAGAGAGAAAGGTCAGAACACACAGAAAGGGAATCCCCAAAGACTAAAAGCAGACTTCTCTGCATAAACCCTATAAACTGGGACAGATTAGGGGCCTATTTTCCAAATTCTTGAAGAAAAGAAATCCTAATCAAAAATTTCGTATCCCACCAGGCTAAGCTTTATCACTGAAGGAGAAACAAAATCTTTTCTAGACAAACAAGCATTAAAAATTTCATTACCATTAGACCAGTCTTATCAGAGATCCTTAAGGGAATTCTAAACGTGGGGGGAAAAAAGAACCAATACCTGCTACCACAAAAACACACTTAAGTACAGAGCCCACAGACCTATCAACCAACCAAACCATAGAAACTACAAAGCAGTGAGCTAACAACTTCATGGTAGGATCAAAATCTTCCATATTAATATTATCCTTAAATGTGAATAACCTGAATACTCCACTTAAAAGGCACACAGTGGCAAGTTGGATAAAATAACAACATCCATCCATCTGCTGTCTTCAAGATATCCATCTCACACATAATGACACCTATAAGCTCAAAGTAAAGGGCTGGAGAAATATCTCTCTTGCAAATTAAGCAACAACAAAAAAGAGAAGGAGTGACTATTAGATAAAATATATGTATTTTAAAATATATTTAAAATATAACAACATATATTAGATATAATATGAATTTTAAAATATAATATATAATAATATATTAGATAAAGCAGACTTTAAACCAACAACAGTAAAAAGGACAGGAAGGGCATACATGATGATAAAGGGTTGAATTCAACAAAAAGATTTACCTATCCTAAATATGTATGTACCCAAGACTGAAACATCCAAATTCATAAAACAAGTACTTATAGTTCTACAAAGAGGCTTAGACAGCCATTCAATAATGTTCAGAACTTCAACACCTCACTGACAGTGTTAGATTATCAAGGCAGAAAATTGACAAAGAAATTCTGGACTTAAATCTGACACTTGACCAATTGGACCTAACAGACATCTACAGAATACTCCACCATCAGCCACAGAAAGTACATTCTTCTCAACTGCACACAAAACGAACTCTAAGAACAACTACTTGTTTGGCTATAAAGTAAATTTCAATAAATTTTTTAAAAATGAAGTTAAATCAACCACACTCTTTGAATAATACAATCGAATGAAAATAGCAATACCAAGAAAATCTACCAAACCACACAACTACTTGAAAATTAAACAACTTACTCCTCAATGGTTGACATGTTTTGGCTCTGTGTCCCCATCCAAAACTCATCTTAAATTGTGTAATCCCATGTGTCAAGGGAGGGACCTGGTAGGAGGTGATTGGATCCTGGGGACAGTTTCTCCCAGCAGCTGTTCTAGTAATTGTGAGGGAGTTCTCATGAGAGCTGATGATTTTAAAAGTGGCTGTTTCCCCTGTGCTCTCTCTCTCCTACCTCCATGTAAAACGTGCCTTGCTTCCCCTTTGCCTTCAGCTATGATTTTAAGTTTCCTGAGGCCTCTTCAACCATGTGGAATGTTAGTCAATTAAACCTTTTTTTTTTAAATATAAATTAGCCAGTCTCAGATAGTATCTTCATAATAGTGTGAAAATGGACTAATACATTTACTTTTGGGCAAGCAATGAAATTAAGGCAGTAACCAAAAAGTTCTTTGAAATAAATGAAAATAAGAGACAACATATAAAAATCTCTAGGATGCAGCAAAAGTGCTGTTAAGAGAAAAGTTTATAGCAGTAAACTCTTACCTCAAAAAGTTAGAAAGATCTCAAATTAAGGATCTAATATGCCTAGAGGAGCAAAAAACAAACAAACAACAACAACAACAACAAAAGAACAAACCAATCCCAAAGCTAGCAGAAGAAAAGAAAAAATGAAAATTAGATGGAACTGAATGAATTTGAGACCCAAAAATTTATAGGAAGAATCAATGATGATCAAAGTTTATTTTTTGAAAGAATGAACAAGATCCGTAGACTGCTAGCTAGATTAACAAAGACAAATAGAAGATCTAAATAAGCACAGTCAGAAATTATAAAAGTGACATTACAACCAATACCACAGAAATACAAAAGATCCTCAGAAACTATTCAGAACACCTCTGTGCATACAAATTAGAAAATCTGGAGGAAAATTAAATTTCTGAAATACAAAATCCTCCAAGAATGAATCAGAAAGAAATTGAAACCCTCTATAGACCAATATTGAATTCCTAGACTGAATCAGTAATAAAACGCCCAACCACAGCAATAACAAAAAAAGCCTCAGACCAGGCAGATTCACAGCCAAATTCTATGAAACATACATAGAAGACATGCTACTATCCTACTGAAACTATTCCAAAAAATGGAGAAGGAAAGGCTTCTCCTTAACTCGTTTGACAAAGCCAGCATCCTCCCGAAAGGAAAACCTGGTAAACATACAATGAAAAATATCTCTGATACCAATACCTTTGATAAACATAGATGCAAAAATCCTCAACAAAATATTAGTAAACTGAATTTAGTGGCACATCAAAAAGTTAATTCGCCATGATCAAGTAGACTTAATTCTTGGAATGTAAGGTTGGCTTAATATACACAAATCAATAAATGTGACTTACCACATAAACAGAATTAATAACAAAAATCATATGATTATTTCAACAGATGTGAAAAAAGCTTTTGATAAAATACAACATCCCTTCCTGATAAAAACCCTCAAGAAACTATGCATCAGAGTAACATATCTCATATCTCAAAATAACGAGAGCCATCTAAGTGAAACCACAGACAACATTATACTTGAATGGGCAAAAGCTGAATCCCCTTGAAACTGTTAAAAGAATGCTTACTCTCACCTCTCTTATTCAACATAGTACTGAAAGTCCTAGCCACAGCAACCAGGCAAAAGAAATAAATAAAAGGTATCCAACTAGACAAATAAAAAGTCAACCTATATCTCTTTGCTGTTAATATGATTCTATACCCAGAAAACACAAAATACTTTACTGAAACGCTCCTTTAACTGAGATGTGACTTCAGTAATTTTTCAGGATACAAAATCATTCTATAAAAATCAATAGCATTTTTATATACCAATAACATTCAAGCTGAGAACCAAATCAATAACTCAATTCCATTTGCAATAGCTGCAAATAAATAAAACATCTACGAATGCATCTAACCAAGGAAGAGAAAGATCTCTACAAGAACTACAAAACACTGCTGAAAGAAATCACAGATGTCACAAATAATGAAAAAAAAAAAATTCAAGTATATCGATTGTAAGAATCAGTATCCTTAAAATGGCCATACTGCCCAAAGCAATCTACAATTCAATGCTATTCCTATCAAGCAAAAACTATCATTTTTCACAGAACTAGAAAAAGAACAATTCTCAAATTCATATGAATCCAAGAAATATTCTGAACAGACAAACAATCCCAAGTTAAAAAAAAAAATGAAGCTG